TGTACTAATAAGTAAGTTAAGGCTCAGTGGACAGATAGAGTGAAACACGGCACAGAGGCTAATGGAACTGAGAGCTTTCCATGCCTCCATGGGTGTCTTAATTGTCAAAAAGAGATTCTCAGATGAGCATTTCAGCCCTCGCCCGCTGGATTGTGGGAAGCCTAAATTGGAGTGTGACTGACTGGACTTGTTTTAAGGCAGAGCTTCTCTGGTGTGTGCGAGGCGGATCAAATCCCTTATCCTATGTCTGGAAACGGTTCCTGTGATTCACTCCTGTTTATTTTGCAGCCAGCGCCGGCACAGTGTGAGCTGCCCATGCAGCCAATGGGGACTGCAGTAGGCTCATATCAAAAATCTATAACTTCTGCTCTTCTGTGCTTTTTCATCTCACAGCGAATGTATTGTGAGCTCATCTATTTTTTGCATGGCTCCTCTGGTTCATAAATATTCATCCCCGCAACGTCAAATAGGTGATTTATCTGAAAGCAAAAATATGGCTTTTTCGGCACCAGCCAGCTTGGATTTGTTGGCTCTTGTCGCTACTGTTACCGAGGCACCTTTATAGCAAGCTATTTTAGCATTGCACCTCTAATGCTAGTTGTTACAGCAGTAGAAATTCCAACCGCTGCGGTTCATTAGTAGTGAAACCGGAGTGCAGGGGGGGACTCCATGAGAGACGGAGAATGCACTTTTAATCTAAAAAGGTCAATGTGCATGAGCTATTTTGGAGATTCACTGCGAGCTTATAATTGGAGGCCTGTCTGAAGACAACTTGGAATTAAATGAAGACAAAGTTACCGAGCGTGTGGTTGGCCTTTGATGAGAATCGGGGAGTGAGGACCCTTCATTTGCAGCCTTTAATCAGTCCAGTGAGATCAGATTCACGTGTGATTGTAGGAGAAAAGAAAGGAGGGGAGAGAAATGAAATGGTAATGAGTATTGATTACCTATGTGCATATGACCCTTTAGTCTCCTCTTGCATTCTTAAATCAACCCAAATTATTGAATTTTCTAATTTCATGCTCAGAGAGAAGTAGCCGGCAACATGAAACTGCCTCCACAATGAACCATGCGCCCATTGGGGTCTGAGCAAATTATAGTGAAGAGAAACAAGGCGTCTTTTTGTGCAGAGGCGTGGGCGTGAACCTGAATTAAACGCACCGCTTTTAAGTTATGGATGATAATTATTCTGGGAGGGTCTGTTGGGAGTAAAGGTGATTCAGGTAGCTTTTTCTTCAAATTGCATTTCACGTCACGGCACTGTCACTAAGCGATGGCCTCAGCACAGCCATATATGTATGTAATTGCTTGCCGTTAAGTTGGAGGAAAAAAGGTCCGTTTAGGCTGGAAAAAGAAGCCCAATTACATGTATACACAATTAATACACCCATGGGAAATAGAAATTTTCTTTCAAATGATAAGATTAATTCCTAATTATGGCCTCACACACACGCACACACACGTGCACACTCACACAAGGCCTCACACAGCTAATCTACTTTAGTAATAAGCTAGTGTACACTGAAATAGTGAAGAGAGAAGTGGACAGCAGCTGATGGAGGGAATCCGTGTCATAGTGGACTCAATGAACCGGGGCACAGCGCAGGCCTGACGGTCCTCTGCTGCCATCTGCTGGCTGTAACATATATCATGGTTGGTGCAGCAAAGAGGGCTTTTAGGAGTTTTTGTTTACCTCCTCCATGCCTGCCATCCCTGCATTTACTGAAGAGAAAAAGTGCATAACAACGATTGGTCCGTTAGTTGGCACCTTGTAACTGTTTTCAGTCTCTTTGAAGATGCTGTATGTATGGTGCAACCACACGTGTGCACTATCGTTTCGAATTACTTTGGCTCTTTTTGTGTCTCCCTTGTTGTGCTTCTCTTCATGCTTATATTTGCTTCTCTGTAGATTATGGTGGATTTTTCCTTTTCTTCGTATTTCTTTGTAGTTTGTTGTTACTTTGCATCCTTTATTGTGTTTGAACATTTTGCTTCTCTTTACAGTTTGCCTCTTTTTTATCTTGTTTTTCTATTTGTGCTGATTTTATTATGTATTGTTTGTTTATTTTGTGTAATTTAGTCTAAGGAGCTTAGAAAGAAAAGCGTCTGGACTTCTTTGAGTTGCTTGAAGACATTTCACCTTCATCCAAGAAGCTTCTTCAGTTCTGGGGTCAAATGGTGGAGAGTCCCAGATTTAAGATAAGATAAGATAACCTTTATTAGTCCCACACGTGGGAAATTTGTTTTGTCACAGCAGGAAGTGGACAGTGCAAAAGTTATGATGCAAAAATTAGAATACAATAAGAATAAATACAGTACACAGCTGTACAGAATAGAATAAAATAATATACTATATACAGTAGAATAAAATAGAATAAAAATATACAATAAGATAAAAATAGAATACGAATGCTATATACAACTGAGTAAAAATACATCGATGCCAGAAAAGATTATTGCACTTAGTGTTATTGCACATGTGTGGATGTGTGTGTTTGTTCAGTTAAAGTCTTTATTATGGAGTCTGACAGCAGTGGGGAGGAAAGACCTGCGTAATCTCTCCGTCCCACACCGTGGGTGCCGCAGTCTCCCACTGAAGGAGCTGCTCAGTGCTGTCACAGTCTGCTGCATGGGGTGGGAGACGTTGTCCAACAGGGATGACAGCTTAGCCGCCGTTCTCCTGTCACTCACCACCTCCACTGGGTCCAGAGGGCATCCTAGAACAGAGCTGGCCCTTCGGATCACCCTGTTCAGTCTCTTCCTGTCCCCAGCAGAGATGCTGCCGCCCCAGCAGACCACACCATAAAAGATAGCAGAAGCCACCACAGAGTCATAGAAGGTCTTCAGGAGTGGGCCCTCCACCCCAAACGACCTGAGTCTCCGCAGCAGGTACAGCCTGCTCTGCCCTTTCCTGTAGAGGGCGTCTGAGTTATGAGTCCAGTCCAGTCTGTTGTTCAGATGAACACCAAGGTACCTGTAGCTGTCCACAGCCTCAATGTCCATACCCTGGATGTTCAGTGGTTGCAGTGGAGAATGCTTGTGCCTGCGGAAGTCTACCACCAGCTCCTTGGTTTTACTGGCGTTGATCTGGAGGTAGTTCAGCTGGCACCAGTCCACAAAGTCTTGAGTCAGTCCTCTGTACTCCTTGTCGTCCCCATCAGTGATGAGGCCGACTATTGCAGAGTCATCAGAGAACTTCTGCAGGAAGCACTGGGTGGAATTGTGGGAGAAGTCTGCAGTGTAGATGGTGAAGAGGAACGGAGCCAGAACCGTTCCCTGTGGGGCCCCCGTACTGCAGACGACCCTGTCCGACACACAGCCCTGAGTCCTCACATACTGTGGTCGGTCGGTGAGGTGGTCCAGGATCCAGGTAGTGAGGTGATGGTCCACTCCAGAGTTCTCCAGCTTGTCCTTCAGAACCGAGGGAAGAATGGTGTTGAAGGCACTGGAGAAATCAAAGAACATGATTCTCACAGTGCTTCCAGCGGTCTCCAGGTGAGCGAGGGAACGATGTAGGAGGTGAATGACGGCATCATCCGCGCCAATGCCAGGCTGGTAGGCAAACTGAAGTGGGTCCAGTGATGAGCTTGTTAGGCGCCGAAGCTGAGCCAGGACCAACCGCTCCAGGGTCTTCATCAGGTGGGATGTCAGAGCCACCGGCCTGTAGCTGTTGAGGTCCTTGGGGCGTGAAGTCTTTGGCACTGGTACAACACAGGAGGTTTTCCAGAGCTGTGGGACTCTTCCCAACCTCAGGCTCAGGTTGAAGAGGTGCTCCATCACCCCACACAGTTGGTCCGCGCAGGACCTGACGACCCTCGAGCTGATGCCATCTGGGCCCGCTGCCTTCTTGCCATTAATCCTCCTCAGTTCCCTCCTAACCTGGGTGGTTGAGAGAGACAGGCTGGAGCCTTGTGTTGAGTGTGTATTGGATGCTGTTGTTGGGGGTGGGGGGGAGTGAGCAGGGTGAATAGAGGAGGTGTGAAGTGTCTGAGGTGTCAGAGGTGGAACAGCAGCAGTGGGGGTGGGTGAGTCTGCAGCCGATGTTGTAGACTGTCTCATGGTTGAATCAAATCTGTTGAAGAAATGATTCAGTTCATTTGCCCACCTCACATCCCTCCCAGGCAGAGAGTTCTGCTGTTTGTGGCCTGAGATGGTTCTGAGGCCTCTCCAGACTTCACCAACGTTGTTTTGCTGAAGCTGGTTCTCCATCTTCTGCCTGTAGCTGTCCTTCCCATTCCTTATCATTTAAACCCTGTGGGAGTGTCCCCCGAGAGGGACATGGACCCCCTATTGATCCTCTACCTAATCACACACGCCAGGGTGTGAAAACGGGTGTAGGTCACAATCAGCCAAGGTTTCGGGTGAGCCCATAGTGAAACCTAGCCCCACCCTATCATGTGATTTCCTGAGGTCAAATGACCCAGGATGTGAGTGGGCGTTAAGGCGACTGGGTGACTGAGAAGTGGATGCAGACATCGTGTTAATTTAGTTAGTTAATACAGTCGACACTATTGCCTCACAGGAAGGAGGTCCTGGGGCCTTTCTGTCCAGGTGCTCTGGCTTCCTCTCACAGTCCAAACACATGCAGGTAGTGGGGTGAGGGGAACTGCTTATCTAAATTGGACATAAAGGCTTAATGTGGCCGTGTGTCTCTGTGTTAGCTCAACACACTGGTGTCCTGTCCAGGGTGTGTCCTGCCTCTCCCCCTTCAGCCCCTCCATGACCATGAATTGGATAAGTAGTTTGTCATTAGGTTAACTTTGCAACAACAAATATTTACACAGCTAATGAATGGCTCATTAATCTGACACTCGGGGCCACGAGCCTGCTAACTGGCTTCACTAATCTTCAGGCTTCACCAAGAGTCAGTCAACTGAAAGCGATTTTGATTATACAAGCTCTAGTTAAACCCCAAAAATGTCAATTAAATGACTGGAAGAACTGTAATAATCCCAGATGAAATAAAAGGACATCGTTTGATGGAAAGTGACAATCGTGACTCAGGCACATCTCAAGTATGATTTTATTCTGTGGGTCTCATATACATCTAACTCTGTTGGTGCAATATAACAGACAGCTACTCAGTACAGCAGTGCCTACATTTTTAATATATCCACATTTACAAGCAAAAATAATTTTTAAAAGATAAATATTAGTTTCCTTGTTAAAGCACAGAATGGAGTTCTCTTGGCTTGCAGCAAAACTATATTGCATCAGTCTCATATAAATATGCTTAACCTCACACTCGTTCTAAGAAGATACGCACTGGTTTGTGCTGCAGATAAAGTGCCTACTCTGCAGCTCTGCAGTCAGAGAATGTCGAAGCAACTCAAGACACAGAAAGTGCAATTTAAAAACACTAAAAAGATCCAGGGCGACGAGGACACACAGATGCATGGCAGGACAGCTGTGTGTGTGTGCATTTGATAAGAAGAGGAGAGAGGCTAGACTACAGTTGGTGAGTTTTTTTAAAACAAAACTGAGAGGAGCGCCACTAAAAGGAATGACAGTAACAGACCATGAACACAGCATGTGGCCAGAAAAAAAAGTGTTCATGTTGTAACAGGAGCTCATTTACAACACAAAGACTGACACCTCACAAAATTTCCATCATACACAAAGACTGAACTCAGACCGTCATACAACGCGGGCCTTCACATGGCCACCGAAGCGTCCGAGTCTTTTGGTCGATTGTGTACGACGTGCTCGAGCTGTCCGGAGTCGGAGACGTCGTAGCTCGTCTTGTACTTAGCCAAGATCTTCATCAAAGGACGCAGCTTCAGCCACCACTGCTCCTTGGGGATCCTGTGACTGCACACAGATGAAGAAACGTCAGTGTCAGCGTTTATTTCGGCATTTCTTTCTCATTTTGGACTCCCGAGTTCTCTTCTGGACTAATCTCCCTGTGTGCCAGCGAGCTACTGTGATACATACACAAAGTCAGTCTCATCCTTGAGTTGGACCACAGGCTGGAAGACCAGAGTCCTGCGGCGCATTCCCAGCAGACAGCAGGAGTCCTCGGTGTTAGCAAACACTCGGCCTGCACACAAACACTGAATCAATCAAAGGTGCAAACACAGGAAGTCCCTGATCTTACAAACATGCATTAGGGTGGAATTAAAGCCACTGGAAACCCAAACCTACAACAGCGTTCCAGCTGTGGGTCTATGCAGTGCCGTTATTTTGGAACTTTTTGATCGCTAGATTTAACTTCCTACACCTCTGTGTGTCAGTGATTTAAAAGCCCACTGGTGAAAATGACTAGTGTCATTGTTTTTGTAGGAGAAACAGTGGACTACACTGGTGATCAGGGTTACCCTCACATCAGCAGCAAAGGATAACTGCTTCCCTTCTTAAAGTCGGTGATTTTGTTAGTTGGCACCAGAAAAACTAGTCGTTTCATTATTAATATTTTGTTAATGTATAAAGCGAGTTAACTGTAGAGTTGAAGCTGCGTCTATGTAGCCAACCACCAACAGCCACAGCTGCCTTACCAGCAGATGGCAGCAGCACCCCACCCTGCCTCTCTCTGTGATCGGTAGCTTTAAGAAGATCAATCAAAGCAGCACATGGATCAGCAAACATACGACCCGATGGCCAGAACCAGACAACCAAAGGGTCCATCCTGACCTGCTTGATAGCTTTCAAAGAAGGGCGTGCATTTTGCACCTTTAACTGTATTTTAATCAGTTTTACAGGCCTGTTACTGTGGCTTGTACGCCACAGTAAGAAAAAAAGAAAAGAAGGGAAACTTCTTCTGTATTATCAGTAGTCAAATTTCTTTTTTAAGTCTCTATTTTGTATACGGTAAAAAAAAATCAGAACTTTTGAACTTTTCAATTCACAAATAATTTCTGTTTTTTAATTACAGTCCTTTTTTTGTTAAAGTGTAATCCCAGTGACTGAGCTCAGTTTTTAATGTTTTTGGACTTTTTTGTCTCATCAAAAAGGCCAAGGACTCACCTAAACTCTCAACTTTGATACCATTTGTAATTGTTATGATTTTTGGCTAAATTCCCAGTGGCTTTCACATTGAGAGGTATCTGGGGAGGTGGGGGTGGTTCACAGTGATTTCTTTCTACCAGCTAGTGGCTATCTGAAACATCATCATAAATGAAACAGCTGCAGTGTGGTTTAAGAGGATGAGAAAACTGAAGCACAAAGAGGTGTTGATATGGAAGCCATGAACAAAAGCAGCTGAATTGAGATAAAGCACCGCACACTACCAAGAAAATGTGGGAAAAGCAGGAAAAAGAAATGTGCGTGTCGCTCACACAGCCCATGCTTGCACATTTCCATTTCAGAAAGGACCTGGAAACAGCACTGCATGGTGGCTGCCGGTAAATTTGGAAGGCATGGGCAGATTGCATCCTACATGTGTGTAACAGAACAGTGAAAATGACACACACAGAAACACACACACACACACACTGGGAGTATGGTGCTAAAATGAAAACACAAGATAGGAGCTAAATATGTAGATGGTCATGGAGCCAGCATGAAGAAGAGGATTTACCTTCATCTTATGTCATCCGAGTGTAAGAGAAATGGACACAAAAAAACAAAACAAAAAGAGGAGTTTTAACTTTAATGGCGGCCTTATTACACAAACAGTGTACAGGTCGGTTGTGTCGTATCAGATGAGGAAGCGTGTCGGTCCTCATTAAAATGCTACATTGATGAGTGTAAATGATCAATAATTCATTTTCTTTGTGAGGATAAACATACATCAAAATGTCAGACAGAGTGACTCCATGACAGATCTGCTTCACAACGGCCACGCCTCTGCAGGGAGGGAGGATCGGCTACCGCGGGTCTAATTACAGGCTGCAGGGAACATTAACCTTACCTTGTCTGAACGTCTCAACCAGCTTTTTGGAGACCCACTGCATGGCCTTGGCTGAGATCTTGGTCCCAAAGTTCCGGTCAAATGGAGATGGCGCTCCTCCCTTTGAAAAAAAATTAAGAGTTTTCACTCATCCACCAGATCTTTCCCCCCTTTCTTCTTAATTGAACACATGTTTGCTGATGTGGTTTGCTAGCTGTGCTATCTTTTCATTACAAACTAGATTTTCCTCAGAGATCATCAAAGTTTTGTGTGTTCCAGTTTTTTTATGTGCTAATCTCAAGATACACAAATCCAAAATACAACAAAGACCAGCCATGTAAACTGAGAACATGCATATTCATGATACAAATATGGAAAATTGGCACTTCTGTACTCTGGAGGAGACGTTACCACTGATTATTTATACAATGGGAAATCAGCCCACCTGCTGCATGTGTCCCAGCACATTCTTCCTGCAGTCAAACACCCCCCTGCCTTCTTCAGAGTACAGCTGATAGATGAAGTCTGTTGTGTAGTTCTCATTGCAGTTCTCATTCCTGACAGACACACAGTGAAAGTGTTAGCAGAGGCACACTCACGATGTGAGTTGACGCTCACGCTAGCTGGACGTCATCAGTGGGAGCCGGATCGTAAAATGTCAGCACTGTCAAAACTGTCGGCTTCACCACAACATTTGTTTACTATACAAGGAGCTTCAAACACCGAGGGATGGAAATGCATGTTTACACTGCAGCTCATTACAAAGAGATGCTGGCTGGAAATTTAAGGTGACTGTCATTTTCTTACCTGAGGACCAGACCTCTCTGAATGCTCGTCTTCATTTTCTCTGTCAGATGTTCAACATTGGCCTGTGGGACGAAGTAGTGCATGTGGCTGATGTTAACACATAGGTGGCTCTGTAAGGTCTGCCTTAGAACTAGAGTAGGGTGACATCTAGTGGATAAAACCAGGAATGACATGTAAAGAACTGAGCCTGAAACTTAAAGGGGACCTATGTTGCTTTACCTTATTTACTGCCATATACACTAACGGCCACTTTTTTAGGTACACCTCTTTTGCCTTCAGTGCTGGTACTAAGGGGCCTAAAGTTTTCCAAGAAAATCCCCCGACACCATTACACCACCAGCAGTTAATGCAAGGCAGAATGGAGCCATGCTTTTATGCCGTTTATGTCAAATTCTCACCCTGCAGTCCCAAAGCTGCAGCAGAAATAGGCTCGACAGCCCAGGCAACATTAACTGTTGCTTCAGCTTGCAGTTGTAAGCTGACAGGAGTGGACCCTGCTGTGGTCCCCTGCTGCTGTAGTTTGACTTGTTGTGCATTCAGAGGTGTTCTTCTGTAAACCACGGTGGTAACGAGTGGTTATTTGAGTCACTGCTGTCTTCCTATTAGCTCAGAGCTGTCTGACTATTCACCTCAGACGTCTGGCATCAACGAGGCCCTTTCACCAAGAGGACTGCAGTTTGTCTGGATGCTTTCTTATTCTTTGATCGATCTCTGTAAATCCTAGAGATGGTTGTGGGTTCAAATCCCAGTAGATCAGCAGTGTCTGCATGCCAGATGCAGTGAGTAATTGTCATGTGACTGGCTGATTAGATATTTGGATTAAAAAGAATTTAAACTGGTGTACCTACAAAAGTGGGCATTAAGTGTATATACACTATAAATATAACAGATTCCATCATTATTAAAGTTATTATTGAATGTTTTTGTTTTCATACAGGATAGTTTTCTTTTTGCTGCTGTTTGTTTTGTTAGAATGTTTTATTTGCTTGCTTACTTCAGTGTTTATTTCTGAGCATTTATATAACACTGTGTGTTGTTCATTGGACAATACGAAAATAACTGTAATAAAGGGAGAATGTCCTTGGAGAGAGAGGAGCCAAAACTGTTTGTTTGTTTATTTTGGAACTGTGACTCATGCAAAGCTACTTCAGTCCAAGAATAAAAAGCTGGTGCTGAAATGACCATCACAGGTCTACTTTAAATAATGAATGCATACTGGTTCTGTGGTTGCGTCATACCTGCAGTTCTTTGATGTCAAACGGCTCCTCGTAGATGTAAGCAGCATCGGCCCCTGAAGCCAGGCCCCCCACCGTGGCCAGATAGCCACAGTAGCCTCCCATAGTCTCAATAATGAACACACGTCTCTTGGTCCCACTGGCTGATTGCTTGATGCGGTCACAGGTCTGACACACGCACATGAGCTCACAAAGTCAGTACACATTCAGCACTAATGTGTCAAAGCTAACCTCTGTAACCCTGAGCTCATATTTGCCCATCAAGGTAAACATAAAGATTAGTGTTAACTTAAGACTTTCCACACAGTAGAACAACAGCATGCTTATTTAGCGAATAGCTACATTTCAACAACAGATTCATCTAAATGCTGCTTTCACCAGACAGACTGGATCCTGCGAAAGACGACAGAACACGTCAGATGGTAACATTAAATTCAGAATTCATATGCAAACACTTGGTTAAATTCTATGTGGAAACATTTTTCTTCCTGTGCTAGATTTTTATTTTGATAGCCCAGTGCTGACAATCAGCTAAATATGAGATAATCTAGCGTCAGTTTAGAAGTTGCAGCAGTGGTAAAAATATAAAAATATGTGTTACTGTGAATTCACGTGCTCTGCAGAGAGCCCGTCTCCCAAAAATGGGAAATCGTGCTATAGTGTATCCTTGTGCTTTTAAATGAGAATGTGTTGAAGCAGCACAGGGCGATCGTGGCTTATGAGTTGGGAGTTTGCCTTGTAATCGGAAGGCTGCCGGTTCGAGCCCCGGCTTGGACGGTCTTGGTCGTTGTGTCCTTGGGCAAGACACTTCACCCATTGCCTACTGGTGGTGGTCAGAGGGCCCGGTGTCCAGCAGCCTTGCCTCTATCAGTGCGCCCCAGGGTGGCTGTGGCTACAATGTAGCTTGCCATCACCAATGGGTGGATGACTGGATGTGTAAAGCGCTTTGAGGTCTTTAGGGACTAGTAAAGCGCTATATAAATACAGGCCATCCAATAAATAAACTGTTACTTTAGCTTTTAACAGGGTTAGCTCTAAGAAGTAACATTTGTAACAAATCTGTTTCTCTGCATGGACACAAGCTAACAATTTTGTAAATCACTATCCTGGAGCCCTCAAAGTGCTTCAGCATATCATATATTTAATGTTAGAAAACAAACCTGATGTACTTAAATGTGCACAATTTTACTTCATGCTTTTGTGTATGATTTAAAAGAACTGAGAAAGTTGTGCACCAAACTTTTCCATCTTTCTCAGTTGTTTTGATGATGTGAGGGGGATCAGTAGGAAAACACTTTTTTCCAATTTTTCGCAGCAGCACATGAATGCACAGTTTATGTTTGAGTTAGTGTTCGGGTTAAGTTTAATTCATTGACTTTTGTTGCCTTTACTGTAACCTAAATCCAGAGAAAATAGTGTAGCACCTTCTGTAAGCGGACAGTTTGCTGAGTATTAGCACTGGACCACAGTTTTCTCTCTTGCACTTTCATATCATGCCTCACGTTCAGTGTCTTTGCACAAGCATCTTGAACAAAGCGCTCAAAGCTCTGCTGGCGGCGGTTTGACTGCCTTACCTCCACAATGGCATTGAGGGCCGTGTCTGCCCCGATACTTAGATCGGTGCCGGGTACATTGTTACTTATGGTGGCAGGCAGCATACACATCGGGATGCAAAACTCCTCATAGCTGGCGCGAGCCTCATACAGCTGCAGCAGACTCTCAAACGCCTGAAGCAGCAGTATACAGAAAACGCGTTAGACGACCGGTCACTTATAGAGAGAGAGGGGTGAATCTCTCTCAGTTTGCAAGAGAGTATCCCGCCATTCCGGCATGTTCCGTGTGATAGCGGCTATGGCTTCCCTTTGGCAGAAAGGACGGGAGGATGGGATTGTGAACAGAGTGGTGGAGAAAAGAAAATAAGAACAGAAAGAGTGGCAGAGCAGAGAGGGGAACGTGTAATCAGAACAGGAAGTTGATGTGCAGAGAGAGAAAGCAGAGGGAAGGATGATAAACAGGGACAGACAAAGAACAGATGAAGAGACAGGACAGAGAGACGTGTGCTTGTTGGCCTCAGAATCTGCTCCACGGTGACGCGGCATATAACAACCACATGACAGCCAGATCTGCTTATATTCAGCAGGACAAGCAGGGCCAGTCGAGTCTGCATACACAGCAGGAGGACATGAAGATGGCCAAGCTGCGATTCCAGTTTGAAACAGCACACGTTACCTGAACTACAGGCTGTTAAGCTTGTGTTCTGGCGATATGTAGACGTCAAAACCTGCATGCAGCCAGCCACTCGTCATGACGTGTCAGAGGACACTATCACAAACACACAGACAGGGAGAAGGGCAAGCAGAGCAAAACATGGCGGCCACAACACGTGTGCACCTCACAGCATGCCTCCATGTTGACACTCACTTACTTACCTGAAGGGAGCTTTACGTTTACCAGTCACGCCTCACGGTGCTGACATGACTCACTTTGTCTGTCTGAATTTCTAGTTTTTAGGGAGGCTTTTTGTGCCACGTGTGGCTGACAGATGCCACCGTTACAAGGATTTCTTCCGAATGATCCCCTGACAGGCTGGTGACTGGTAAAACACAACACTGTGGGTTTTTCCCCCTTGTTGAAACACAGCTGGCTGGCTTGTAAAGTGAGCGGATGTGTTTGTGTGTCTGTGTCATGTCTGTCTATTCCTGTTGGCAGGCCCCATCACTTACAGTAGTGATGGCGTTCAGAGCCGTGTCAGCGCCAATGCTGAGGTCAGAGCCCGGCACATTGTTGGAGACAGTGGCTGGGACCATGACCATGGGCACACAGAACTCGTCATATTTCCCACGAGCCGTTAACAATTCCAGCAGTGACAGGAAGGCCTGCAGGGCAGAGCCAAGTGCTTTAGTGTCTGCGAGGGGTTTGGAAGGTTGGTCTGGAAGAGAGGTGCTACTTGCCACAAAGGAAAGGGTAAGACATAAGTGGAGGGTGCCAAGGGGAGGAGCCAGGTCTATCACAACGGACAGCAGCGAAACAGACAGGTACCACTCCACATTCACCCTCAAAAAACACACACACGTACATCATACACAGGATAACTCATTTACTTGCATTCATCAAAGGAAAAGTAAAGCTGGTGAGCATCTATACAGGAGTGCGTGAAATGGCTGAAGAAAAGCAGGTGTTCTCTGTTTCCAAATCAGATCAAATCGAGTCAACTTCAGTTAAATAATCCAAAAACATCATGTTAAGGAGTCTTCTTTCTCACTATATAGCTATACATATATATCATATACCATTTAACATGTAATGCTAAATATTAGCTTCCAATGTTGCAGTTCTGCAGCTCTGCTTTTAGGCAGAGAATTGAATTTAAAGCATAGTTTTGTACACAGCTATGCATGGAACCATACAGAGGTGTGCTGAAATGAAGCGGGATAAGGCTGATGGAAACATTATACTGTTTATTGTAACATGTCATAAATATTCATAATTTAAAAGCTTTTAAGCTTGTACACAGACTTAAAGATGAGAAGCATCTACTGACAGACTCAACAAGTTAAAAGCAAAACGAGCAGAGACAAAAACTGAGTGTGAAACTTACCTCGAATCCACCGATAATCAGCAAAGCATTTATATTGTGCTTTCGCATTTGCTCAGCAATTTTCTCCACGTGTTTTGCAGGAAGTGTTCTGAGGATTACAAAATGAGTATTATGAAAAAAAAACATTATGCAAATATACAAAATCATTGAAATACAAAGTGTATGGCTGGGAATTTAGTTTCTTAAAGCCGTCTATGAGGAAATTCTCTGGATACACTGGTACAGTGCTGATACAGATTCCATCACCTTTGTAGATATCTCAATTTAATCATCATTTTATAAGAAAAACTGAAGACTCTTTACCTTTTTGTCCCCAACAGGGAGCCACCCTGTCCCGTCCAACCTCCAACATCACCCCATTTCACCTCCTTAATCTGAAGGGTAGATGGATGAGACATATACGTTAGCTATTACTGATGAGTGGAGCTGTTCATAGGATGCTTTTATTTATTTTGTTTTGTTTTAAATGTTCTAATTTAGTGCTCTTCTAACCTGCAACGAGCTGAAAAGCTCCAAAAGCTGGTGCTTTTCTTTCTTTGTTGTGTTAAGAGTTGCACAGAGACTAATGAGTCCCAGTGTGGAAGCTGTTTTCTCCCCAATTTATTTTCTTAAGTTTGCATCTCTCTCACAGTTGTGTATTTTCTGTCCTATCCTCCTGGTTCTCAGGGCAGACATAGCAAACACCAGAGTTAATTTGCTGGACAATCTCTTTCATGTAGCAGCAGAAACTAACAAAGCGTGTAGCAGAGAGTGCTTGAGTCCTGAATAACAGAAATCCATTATTCCCTCTGCTCTAATCTTCTTGGGGTCAGTAGGCACAGTCTGAATCCAGGTCTCACAGAGGATGTTTAACTAAGCAGTGACAGTGGAGACATTCTGATAGAGATAAATGATCCGATTGTTTCCTAAGTGCTGTTCACTGAGCCGACCCCACACTCTGAGCGGTTTCGTCAAAGGAGGCTAGAGGACAGAAACTAGTTATACCAGTCATGCAACAAAGAAACGGTATCACCTCAGATTACATATCAGTACAAGTTTTCATTGTTAAAAGTCACACAGGTGCTGCTTGCTTTTACCCTGTATTCATAAATCTCGTGATATTGTGGTGATAGGTAATGTGAGAAAGTCTTTGACTTATCAGTACAGAGCTGTGTTTCTCAGCCCAGGGAGAACAGTCTGTTTCCCCCCACTGGATAGTTGTGGTACTGCATCGTTTCGACTGAGCCGAGCAGAGCAGGGAGAGTGAGCGTGAGGAAATTGGTTTACATTAATCTGGACAGATTATCCCCCGGGTTTCCCTGATTATGCTTTAGTGTGACTGTGCACTGTCTGACTCTCATCAAGCTAAGCCAATTCTCTCTGAGATATTGATTAAAAAATTGGAGTCACACACACAGAAGATTTTTATTAAGCTTGGAAATTATGAATGCATTTAAATAACATGAAATCTCATTAGTTTCAGGCCGATTATAATGACACGCAGTAGTGCAGCAGCAGTGCTACAAGTCTCACCTGTCCTTTGTAGAATCCCTCAAAGCCATCACTGACGGCAAACATCTTGTGCCCCTCAGAGATGCCCACCCTTACAGCTGAACGGACAGCAGCATTCATGCCCGCTGCAGGGGCCCCGACATTCAGCACTGCCACATTGAAGTTGCTCTGAAGACATAAAATGCACAGCAACAGGTTATCATACATTCTGGCTCTGGAATAATCCCACCAAATGATAAAGTGTGTTTTTGAACATGGATGATCACGCTCTACAGAAGAAATCAATAAATGCTTTCTGGGGTACTCTCAGCCACATGCTGAGCCTACAGTGGTCATTATCACAGAGGCAGAGGGTGGAGTCAGACCCTAAGGCAAGGTCCACAGCATGGAGTCTGTCAGGCTGCCTCTACACTTCGCTGATTTTCAGTGTAAGCTACCTCCTATGGAGCTGCAGCTCCTGGCAGGGATGATCAAGTCCAACCCTCAGAGGGGAGCCAGGTGTGATCTAATATCACTGCACAGCAACAGTGGCCACCCGGGCCCCATATGAAGCCCACGCTCACTAAACCTTAAGGCTTCAGAGTAAATAAGAACAACATGGTTAGAAGTCAATACTTGTTCTTATTATGTGCACTTTTCATCTTTTTATAATGAACAGCAGGGAACCACTGACGCATATGACTGCTGAATACTAATGCCCTCAGCCTGATGTCACACACCCAACACACAGGACAATGGTAATAAGGTCACTCCCTCAGAAGGTGTGCAGCGCAGGCTCCATAGCTCAGTGGTTAGAGCACTGGTCTTGTAAACCAGGGGTCGCGAGTTCGATCCTCGCTGGGGCCTGATGCCTGGACAATACTTTTTTATTTGTTTTTGCCTCCACCTCTAGATAAATAAAGTATATGGCTTTGTTTTGTCAAAGACAGCTCTTAAAATAGCAGCAGCAGTAAGGCACAACTGAGTCATTATTTGTTGGGCAGAACCTTAGGCTGACTTGGCTCCCTAAAAACAACCTGCTCTACAGGTATTCTGTGGGGGGGGCTCTGTCCTTTTTCATTTCTGTGTGTGTGTTAAGTGTGAGCAAGCAAAGCTGACACCATCACTTACAGTCGGCAGCTCGGATTCTGGTTTACGATGAGCCAGCAGTTTGTATGTCTTCAGGTTGTTTTCAAAGCTCCTGCAGAAAAACCAAGTGCAGTGAGTTCATCTGTTCCAACACTTCAATACACAGTAAACACTTCAAAACTAAGGGAGGTGTATTTGAAAATGAAGTCCATGATCCTGATTCTTCCCCTCTTTCCTCATCCTGCTGAACACTGAGTGTAAACAACAGACTGATGGTGTTCTAAAATAGCACCTTGATCCACTTTCCCTGTGTGCACTTAGAAACACCGGACTGAGTGAAGTTCAGGTCTGTCGGTCATACCTGCCCCGAAGCTTAACGGCCTCCTCAAAGCGTTTCTGGTCCATAGCTTTCTGGACCTCTTGAGTCTGGGGCAAAAAAAAGAAAGGAGATTGTTTCATTGCTTGAAATCTGCATTTAGACACGGCAGCACAAAAGTACTTTTCAATTTGATTAATCTACACGATTTGGGAATAAACATCTGCATGCAAGGTCTGTGATCTTTGAAGTGTCACAACTGCTGCATGGAGGAGAAACTGCCCTGAAGTGTGGACAGAGGAAAAAATAACGTGTGTTTGGGCAAAAAAGGTGACTAATACGTAACCTGCTCTTCACCTCTAACATTTCCTGCTACATAACGTCAGTGAGGTCTTCACTGTGAGCTCTGTTAAACCCAAACAAGGAGCGAGAACGACAACAAAGCTTTTTGTGCATTTCTATGGCGGTACACATCATCATAAACAGATAATGATTAACCAGTGGCTCCATCTCAAACAATGCACTTCTCTTGTGGACACTATTGCCACTCCAGACTCTGTGCTGTCTGAAATCATTACTTAAGCTCTTTGTCTTTATGGACTCTGTGTCTGTCTCTGTCTGTCCTCGGCTTCTCTGGTTTTGTAAATATGTGTGTGTGCATGCCTATTGAATACGTGAGGGTCTTGGACTGTTTCCAGCACAGAGCAGCACTTACCATCTGCACACACTCCATCAGAGGCACGCGCACCGATGTGTTCCCACACAGAGACACCACACAGGCCGGCGTGTTGGCCGTGGTCTCCAGAAGCGCGAGAACAGCCTCGACACCCATGCGGCTGGCCTGCATGTGAGACGCACAGATTAAACTGCATCTTCCTCACTCATCGTTTCTATGCCAACACATTCTTCCCCTGCTCAGGGTTTCTTTTGTTCTTTTAAGTTTTATTTACTTTAAATCTAAAATTGGTTTTAATTCTCCTCTTAAACATCCATCATTTTTTTGTTTTCATCTTTAGAGGTTTTGTAGTAAACGGGAAGGATTCCTGGGATACACTTGCACGTGTGCAGAGCCACAAATCTGTTAATATGCTTAACGTAAAACCTGAGGGCAGCGCTCCTCAGACACACACGGGATTGAACAGGAAATGTTTTGGACAACTCCTCAAAACAATACATTTACTATAAATTCTCAAAAGACCATCTATTGAAACTGTGAAAATGAAATCATTTCTGATAATATAATGGCTTTTAAAATTAGGAATAACACTTTAAACACTAATAAATATGCTGCTCAAAAACATAAATGTGCCTATAAACTGCCAAAATAGTCAAAAATGTCAGTTGCAACAACCTCACGTGATAAATTTAAAAACATGATTTATTTGACAGGCCAAAAGCAAAAGATACTGCTTGGAAAAAAAATGAAAGGAATCCCTTTTAATCAGAGTAAAGCATCAAGTCAGTTAAAGTTGTGGGCACTGATCTGGTCAGTTAAGTAGCAGAGGAGGTTGCTGATCAGTTTCAGCTGCTTCGGTGTTGATCAAATTAACAACAGGTGCAAGAGCATGGAGGAGATCCCAGGAGAAGCTTGGTTACTCTAGGAGAGCTGGACGGGGGCGTAGAAGGTCCTTAATCCATCAGCAGGAGCGCTGTCTACTCCTTTGTGCGAGGAGGAACAGGATGAGCACTGCCAGAGCTACAAAATGACCTCCAGGAGAACACCTGTGTCGATGTCTGTGACCAAACACAGAAACAGACTTCATGGGGGCCTGAGGTCCTGATGCCCTCTGGCTTCCCCTCTGTGTTCACTGCCTGGCACCATGGAGCCCGACTCACATTTGCCATAAATACTAAAACAGGCAGGGCACCGCTGCAAATGAGGACATGTTCAGCCTGAGCAAATGCGACAGACATGAAAGGATCTGGAGAAGCCACAAAATCGTTCAGCATGACTGGTTTGTTGGTGGGACAGTGATGGGCTGGGGAGGCATATCCATGGAAGGACACACAGACCTCAACAGCTTAGGCAACTGCACCCTGACTGCCATTAGGTATCAGGATGAAATCCTTGGACGGACGCTCAGACTGTCCAGGAGTTCAGTGGCGCTCTGGTCCAGCTCTGGGAGTAGATTCCCAAGGACATCATCCTTTGTCTCATGAGGAGCGTGCCCCGTTGTCAGGAATGCTGACGAGATTGTGGGGGTCACACAAACTACTGAGAACCATTTTTAACTACTAGCCTGCAGTAATTTGATTTTTAGGGTGTCTTCTGGAGGTTGAAGTTCATTTCCATCAAATGATCTGGAATCATTTAATTCCTTATTTTTAAAACAAGTTTTATTTAACCAACAGGCCAGAGGCAAAGTAGTTTGACAGAGAAAAATGAATCCTGCTTTTTGAGCACGTGAACCCAACAAATGTTTGATATTTTGGCCCCTAAAGTAATTAAACAAACAGTAAAAAAACATCAGAGCACTGGCTCATAACTCAGGAGGGTGGACCTACCAAGATACGGTCAAAGGCAGATGGGGTTCCTCCTCTCTGCACGTGTCCCAAAATTGTCACTCGTGTGTCGAAACCCAAGCACTTGACCACGAGCTGCGAGGAAAAGAAAAACAAGTTTGAGCAGATGGCCTGGCATCACATCATCAACATTCTCATGAAAATAACAGCTGTTCATTTAGGTAATGGATCCTTAAAGAGGCAGTTCACCCTAAAATCAAATGTCTGTACTTTCCTCAGGCCTGTGCTGCTGTTTATCACCTATATTTGCTTTGGTGTGAGTCGCTCAGCTCCAATTGGTAAGTCTGTTTTCTCTTGAATATAATGCAATCAGATGATGTTTGCCTAGTGCTGATCAGAGAAGCAAAAATTAAATAAATACATGCATTTAAAATAAACCTCACAGGTACATGCAGGCTTCCTTCCACATAACGATACAACTGTTAGTCGGTTAAACAAAAATAAATTAAAAAATGTGCGTGTGTATTGGGGGGGTTCAGTGTTTGTTTTTTTAAATAAGCATTCCTGCTGAGCTTTTTAAATGGATTTTGAGCACCACAAATCGACTGAAGAGAAGGCAGACGGCAAAGTCATCTAGATGGATAAACAGCACAAGATAAATAGGACCAGAGAAAAAGATGTTTATGTGATTTATGGGTGAAGTGTTGCTTTACTGTTGTCTAAATTCATCTAATGCATATTATATATACACTAATAAAGGTATAACTGTGTCACTAATATATACAAAACAAAGGTATATGCAAAAACACATGTAAACAAACTGGCACATCACAAACTTGAACATCAACACGATTTGAAGCTGAAGAGAAGGGGAAACAACAAAGCACAAGCAAGCCGTTCTAATTTTTCAGTCATGTTAGAAAGGAGCTTTTAATTTGAAATCAAAAATAATTACTCTGCTACTTTAAATAAAAACAGAATTTCCAAATAAAAATGTTAGTAATAATTACATAATAATATCATCATGATTCACAATTTACAGTTAAAAAGTCAATTTGTAAGGAAAAAGAAGGCTATGTGTGAAGCAGCTATAAGTAAATGCTATAAGACCTATAATAGCTGTGAGGTTTAGAAAAGGTGCCTTGCAGTGCTTTGGCAGTACAGTGTGGTGAAAGCCCTCTTACCAATCTAGCAAGTGTGCTTTACAGAGCATTCCAGAAACACAGCAACAAAGCCACACCAGGGCAGCAGTACAGTAGTAGAGGTCATTCAGGAGGGAGTCAAAGCTGGAACTGGGTACACTCTGTACTTACATTCTTAACATATTCAGTGGTAATGGGTTTGTTGTTACGATCAATCGCCCCTTCGGCTACAATTATGATATTCAGCCTTTTCATCCCTGCTCGGTTCTACAAGGAGGGCGTGGTGGAGAAACAACATGACAGAAAAACTGAGACTGTGGCTGTGACGTGGGCTTTCAGAAGCACGGGGAGGGAGCCGGACGACGGCGGCAGCCTGGGAGCCGAGGACAGATTTGTTCACAATAAAAGCCTGGTGTCACCACGGCTTGTGTTCACACTTAGTTATCAGGTGTATCCTGTCTTTATTGCTGCTTGTCCACACTTTGTTATTACGGGACTGAATGTGGATACTGTAAGAAAACTGTAACCAAAGATTTTGGCGGTGTGTAGCTCAGATGGCTGGCTTGCATCAGTCAGGTCTCCGTGCTTCTGGCTTCCCCTTTCTTAACACTCAGGTACTCACATCCTTGACAAAACTAGAGGTTATAGGCTTCCCGTGCCTGTCAATGGCTCCCTCTGCAACTATGATTATGTTCAGCCTTGTTCCCCTGGAACGGGTCTAAATCATAGAACATTGGCATTTTTTTTCAAAGCAGAAAAAACACAAAATCTCACAAAAGTCTTTCGTGATTTAAAGTCTGTGTAGAAAAACAAAGAAAGGTTTGGAACAACATGTTATCAGAGTAAATATAACATTACATCTCATAGAACAACCCAGTAATACTACACTTCACTGAGTAAGTCTGACTGTGTTACCGCAGATAGTTTCTGACACATCTTCTCCTCCCAGCCATCCTCTGGAGGCATTTCAGGGATCAGCACCCAGTCTGCCCCGCAAGCCAGGCCGCTCACCAGGGCCAGGTAGCTGGGAAACACACACAGGTGATAAAGGCCTGTGTCTCTGACTGAGAGTTGATGGTTCTGGATCTGCTAAGGTTTATCTATTCTTACCCACAGTGTCTGCCCATGACCTCCAAAACAAATGTCCTCTGGTGACTGAAAGATAAGGAGAGGAAATATGATGTAGGAACGCTGATGTACCCGAGAGCAGGTGTAGAAGATACCATGATAGTTTTTTCCTGCGTTAAACTTTTCTCAACTTCAAGGCGAGTGATTGAAACAGCTGCTGGTAAGAGTGAAGGATTATTATATTTGAAATGTACCCTGATAATTAAAGCCTGAACTAGCGACTGACTTGTCACATATGCAGCTTTCACACGTAAAGCTGCTAAAGGTGCTTATGTTGACTGCTCACCTCTGTGCAGTTGTCATAATTGCGTCCACCACCTCGATGATTCTGTGCAAAGCCGAGTCAGTGCCAATTGTCATGTCAGTTCCACAGAAGTCGTTATCGATAGAGCCGACCATCCCCACAATGTGAAGGGCAGAGTACTTCTGGACGGCATCGGCCTCAATCAAACCTGAAAGGAAAAGAAGCTTAGAGCAGGACTGGGCTTTTGTCTGAGTAACCACTCTGAGTCACAGCTGTTCCTACAAACACAAATCTCTGATATTACTGGCAGGAGATACGGTTTCTCAGTATGGCACCAAATGACTCCAAGCTCCACATGCTGTGCAGAATTGTTTTCAACAGTGTAACCACGTCCTCAGAATATATAAACTGCATTTTGTCTTGACTGGAAATAGGAAACACAGAGCCATAAAGCCTCCACTACCTTGTTCCACCAACTCATTCAGCAGCCCGCTCCATTCCTCCTTGAAGAGGTTGGCTCCCGTCAGACTGCCGTCTCCACCGATCACACACAGGTTGGTGATGCCGTGCTGCACCAGGTTGTGGGCAGCCTTCAGGCGCCCCTCGTGAGTGCGAAACTCTTTGCAGCGAGCGCTGCCGATAACAGTCCCTCCCTGGTGACGATAATGGGAACGTTTTAAAAGTGTCTCCAGCCCATATCACATGGTTATTCTTTTGGTTTGAACTCCTGCGTTTGTTCTTCAACAGGAAAAGCACTACTGATAACACACCGCCTACTGCAATGTTAGAGGTTGTAATGTTTCACCACTAAACAGCCTTATCGTCTGTGTCACATGACTTACATGTTCCTCCTTTGTGCATTGCTTCCTGCAAGATAAACCTAACTTTGATAAATACATATTTCAGTGTTTTTCCACACTTTTATATTTTATTTATGGTGGGTAAAGAGGGCATGTGGATGCATTAGTCACGCCATAATAAAAAGGATAATAATTCCAATTTATAGTAAACGTCTCAAGAAATAAATCTGATGTGAGGTTAGGTTATTTATTAATTATTAAACACGTCGATATGAAGATTGTTCCTCTGCAAAGTGCTTTGAGTAAAATAAGCTGCTTATCTAGTAAGATGAACTCTAACTGCACTGTCTTGAACTGCAGCTGGTGACAATACTCCAAAGTCGCCTCGGTGGACTTCAAAGCAATACATCAAACGGGTCTCCACTTGCTCCAGGTTCTAGTTAGAATGGTTCCTCAAACTCACAGAGGATAACCGGAGTAGCACAAGGATACTATCCCCAGCTGCAGTTCAAAACAGTGGAACTGGAGTACATCTAAATGGACGTGATCCTCTCTAGAGAAAGCAGCTGAATAACGCTGATTACCATCACAACAGTAGCCTGGTCAGAGAGCCAGGAAGAAAAACGATACAGGAAGGGCCAGAGTTAGCTTACTGGAAGATGATGAACTTGCAGAGTGAGAAGATCATAAATCAATCACACATCAAGGCGTTCCTCCACACAAATAAAAAGCTAAATGAGTTTTTGGACAGTTATTAAAACACCTGCCAGCCCATCCAAGTAATGTTTCCATGTGGGAAACACTGCACACTGCAGTCCAAGAACTGCAAAAGTATTTATTACTTTCGAATGTTTCCGATATAAGCCGGGAGCCCACAGGAGAGAGAACACCTGCTTATAAAAACCTCACTCTGTGTATGTTACATGTGTCTACTATAGACCATGATAATTACTCACCAACTGCAGCATGCTGGACACACTTTCCCATGTGGCTTCCTTTATGTTATCCCCACCATCCACCATACCCTGATATCCCTGATTACAGAGAAAAAAAAGAATATACATTTAACATTTATGCCTAAAATTGTGGCTTTAACTAATTTAATTAGATATAAATTACATGTAATAAACATATAAATTGCCCATGTAACTCTGTTACATAAGTACAACATGAAATGTTACATTTAATGGAATCTGGGCAAATAAAATTTACTCAAGTAGTATACATTCAGTTTATTTTCCTTACTAATTATTTATTTGTAATTTGATTTCTGCTGCAATTTATTTCAAAATATTGCTTCATGGTTATGAGGCCAAAGAATCATCTTTCTGAGTGTTGCACGAGCTAAGCAAACAAACACACACTCCAAATAACCTCTGGCTAACAGCCCAAAATACAACGCAACGACATCCTATTGTCATCATGACTTGAAATAATCAAAATATTTCCACATAATTCAAAACCAATGAAACTTACATCATTAACTATAAGACTGGTGCATCATCATACTGTGCTACCTTAGCTGGGTGCAGGGTATTCATATGAGGCATCTAAAGCCTCAGTTATGTAACATCACACTGTGTGTGAGCAGAAGCCACACGTACACAGATGTGCTGGGATCACAGGATGAGCAGACAGAGCATGGCTCTTCCCAAAGCTCTTTTAACATCTGCTTCATGAAAACAAAATAAACATCCCTGTATTGATACCGGACCCCTGGCTAGTACTGTACACAAATCCAACCATTAAAGTTGGGCTTAAATGTCTTCCAAATACTTTATAGTGATTTTCCTTGAAAATGCTACTATAGTCCTAAAGATAAATTTATGGCTCACCTCATGAATGAAATAAACCTTTGCCCCCACGTACAACCCCATTCGAACCACAGCACGCACAGCACCATTCATTCCTGAAAGAGAAAGAGTTAAAAGAAGAAATCTTAATCACAAAACAACTTGTTTTACAAGGTCAAACTTTAAACTATAGAGAGGGAAAACACATGTGTCTCAACTGCACCAAGTCATTGTAAAACCCCAATTTGCATGGCTCTCCCAGGGCTTAAGCTACATGGATATTCATTTAATCTGGGTGCAGCTGTAAACCTTTATTTATTTTTTTATGAGTATTTCTATGTCCTGGATGTGGGAGATAATGTGTGTAAGCCCAGCCTTTGCGTGTTTATAGTGTCTGTGTGTCACTTGTGGATTTTTTTGCCCCATCAGAAAGCCCTGCCATGTTTGGTCAAAAGGCTTTCCTAGCTCCTCCTACAGGTTCTGTGAGTCTGAGTGAAAATACTAACCAGTAAGACCATGCTCTGTGGCTTTAATGTCAACGTCAGGGTTAGCTTCAACACAGATGGGATAAAAACGTAAAGCTTTACCCACAGGAAGGAGGAGAACGGGAACTTGGCTAACTGGAAGAGTTGTAAACAAAGGGAAGAAAGGACTGGGTTTCCTTGTGAACCAAGCAGTACTGTTACTCTGCAACACAAAGGCTCAGCCCACTCGGGAAGCAGAGGACACAGCAGTGAGGGAAGGGAACAAATTAGGAGGAGGCCTCTGCAATGTGATCTGCTCATGAAGCCGGCAAAGCATCCAGAATTATTAGAAAAGGACCAACAATACAACCCAGTGTATAATCCATGGCACGCTGTCCTTGTTACATAACTACAATCACAGGGGCATCAGACATCAGAGTGTGGTGAAAACAGAGGCAGAATATATGAAAAGATGTTCGCGTAGATATCTCAGCTGAAGGTTTCAAAGTCTCTATCAAAGCAGAACATCTCTTCTCCTGCTGACTGACTGAAAGCACTCAGCCAAGGCTACACAATGTACTCTGACATTGATGCACGGTCTCAGCTAGCATGCTGCAGACTCACTGCTTAACTCTGGGGCCAGCGCTGCGTGTTTGTTCTGCAATTAAGTGGATCAATTCACTGCTTCTGAATAACCACATTCACTCTTTGAGCTCCTGGAGGATGGAGGTTACACTATAGAATACCTGGTGTAATTAATAATAATGCATTATTAATAATTCTTCACAAATGCACTTACATAACAACAACAGGTGGTTTCTGAGAAAAGGTCAACATTTGTCTAAATTATGTATTGAAAAGTTTAAAACAGGGTGGTTATTTAGCAGAAGATTTTAACATAAACAACATTAGAAAATAAAGAAGCTTCTTTAATGCTGTAGAGCAGTGTTAGTGCTGCTGCCCTTTGTATCACAATCCAATGCTAAAAGTGGACACAACTTTGATGTGACCATGGCTTCTCAGGGTAATATTGGAAGAATATCTGGATCAATAAGCCAAAAAAAGCTGAAGTGCTTTCTGACTATTTTTAAAGCAGGATAAAGAAGTTTTTTCCCCACAAAGATACAAAGCTTCTTGCTATTTTTGTCAAATTACAATTTACAGTTTGTTTGTTAATAACTTTCCATGCAGCATGAAAACAATAAGAAGAAAACGTGTTTTAAAATATCCATATTTATTCATGTTTTGCTCATATTTCACTTTCTACAGCTTGAAAGCTATCAGGATGGATTCACTCTCTCTTTATGTTTTCTCTACTACACTGGTCACGTGTAGGCCTAATAATAAGTTACATAACAGGTAAAAATAATCACATCCTGTCTTTAAATAAAATCATAGTTTCGACTTTTGTTGTTTAATTATAAGATGATGTAACTCATTCGGATCAGCCGGCTGCATTACAATGTGGTGTTACACGGCAGTAGTAGATGTACATGTGCTTAAGCGAAATTACGAGATGAGCCGGTGAGCACATGACCCGGGTTTCCTCTGTGACATATAGTTGACTGGAAGAGACGTAGATGAGTTATATGCTGCTCATCACGTACACAGGATGCCGGCATCCCACAACCGCTGGCCTCCACTGTGCTAATAAAAATCCAAAGTCTCTAGTCTCGCTAAAACTGAACACGACAGAAACGCTGTGTAAGAATTTCCAACCTGTGCGCTAGTGGCCTACGCATCCACCAGAACCAGCTTTTAATGGTTACACAGCGCCCTGCACTCCTGCGTATCTGGCTTCTGCACAACCTAAATTAATTGGGAATCTGCGCTAATTAAATGCTAACACAAGCCCGTCAGTTATAATGCAATAATAAACTGTGAGGAGGAAAGCAAACCGCGCGGCTCGACCTTGACGCATCTGTCTGAGCCGCTGGGTAATGTCACACATGCCTCTGAATCAATGACAGGATGATGCTGTTAGCGACTTAGCAGGGTGCGCGGTGTTAGCATGCCGGCTAACCGTGTAAATGGCACATAACATCACAGCCTTACTGTACCACCCCGCCCCACCGCGTTTTTAAATAAAAGCCAGGCTGACTTGACAGGCAGTCACTATGACACGGCTGTGTATCTTCGCCCTTTGCGGGCCTTTCCTCACTGATACGATGCTTCACACAAGTATCCACAAAAAGTGTAACTCGATACTCTACCTTGAGCATCCCCTCCGCTCGTCAGCACCGCAATGGCTTTGCCCGCTCCCGACAGGTTCTCAAAAAATATCTTCTTGCTGTCCGGCTGCGCCATTTTCACAGCAACTCAATATATAAATATAAATAAATATGTGTTTCCTGGCACAAGCCGATAAAAGAGAACACCGACAGTACGAAACTGTGCGGAAATGATGAAGGGCAACAATCTATGCCCTCTACCTATGTACAGTATGCCCGCTTTGGTCTCCTTCTCCTGCCTGTTCCGTATCTGGTCGCTGATTTGCATAGGCCGAGCGCGAGGACAGTTATTGGCAGAAGCTCGGGCCAATCAAATCATAGTTCCAGCAGCATCCGTTCGCTTGCAAACTAATAAGAGATGTGTGGGCGGGTCTATCATTAGAGGATGCCGGCGAGGTTTCAGTGAACCTTAGTGAGGAGGAAGCAACAGGCTGCGAAAGTTACACACAGAAACACCTGAATCATACAGTGTAAAGACGAATAAATCTATTATTTTTAAATTAATACTATGAGTAGTAATAGCAATATAAATATTTTTATTTCTATTTCTAGGCCTAGATGTTTTTATTGCAGTAACTGGTTTGCTCTATCATCAACATTTTGGTAATCCTTGTGTTTATATAGTATTCTAAATCTATATTCTTTCACTGTTGCTGATGTATTTGCCCAACAGTGTAAGGTAAAAACAAACCTTCCACAGATGCGCTACCTTATGCCATTCTTCGTAAAATGCATCGTTTACGGCCCAGGCTGACACTTTTGTGAAGTGTATTATTGTGTTTTGATCACTGCTTAAATATCATATTTACATTTGCATCACTGAAACTGTGCGCTTTCCTTCAGGCCGAAATCCTTTTGCACTGGAGCTATGACTTCCGTTCAAGGTCGTTTTTTATGAGCCACTGATTTTTGTTACTACCTTTATGTGTATGGGACTCCTAACACTACACAGAGTAAGTTAGCGTTGACTATTTAAGATTTTTCACAGATAAACACAAGAATGTAAAACTATGAAACACGCAATGAGGAAGGTTCCACTTTGGATCGTTGTCTCCATCATGTGGCCTTAAGGCCAAACTACAAGTGGAAAGCTATAAAACGGAAGTACTGTGCATGTTCTGTATTGGTCTCAAACAAAAAGTGTGAGTAAAGGTCTGTTTAGTAACATATAACATCAAAACCTGAGTCATCAGCAGAAAGAAAAAAAATCAGTCATTTTGAATTATTCTCATCACACAGCAGACACCGCTGAACGACCTAATTCAATTATAGAGTACTTTGCAATATGATTTAGAACAAGCAAATGAGGCTACTGTGCTTTTAGTCCAGAATCACCCTATTATCAGAAGAACTGTTTTTCCTGCAAACTCAAAATCGATTCAGAAGAAAATAACATTCTGATATGCATGAATGACAGCCCTTAAGCTTCAGGAACTACATACAAGGACATATAAAGTGATCCTGCTAGTGACATCACTGATAGTTGTGCACCTTCTTGCCTCACATGTGTCCCCCCAGTCCCCTTAGACACTCCTACATCTTCCCCGGAGAAGACACTGTTTGTTTTTGTGTTAGTTCCAGTCAGTTATGAGAACTGTCTCAATTTGATCACACTCACTGTCCTGAAAAGTCAAATAAAAGTAAAGAAAATACTGAGTTAAATAGTCTTTAGATAGAAAAAAAACATTTAGTTTATTAACCTCCTAAGACCCAAACTCTTCCACGGCATGCATTTTTAATTTGTCTTTGATATTTGGGCATATTGGGGCTTGATAAATAAAAAACAAAGAATTACCAGATTTTCTTTTTTACCTCATTTTTGTTTTTATGAAAAATCAGAGCCACATATGAGGATATTCGTTTAAAATTTTGATAGAACAGTAGCAGTATAATGTCCTCATAAATGGATATCAGGCCCTTGAAGAGCAAAACTGAGTATTTTGGTCTAAATAACCCAAAATGTGATGTCCACATATGTGGACACCAGGTCCTAGGAGGTTAAACTTAAATTGCATCTGCAGGTATATTCAAACAAATCCAGCATAGTGTTAGTTCAGACAGGCCACAAAGCCAAACTCAGATGCAATCTCTCCTGATCAGCTCATCTCAGTGCCAGTGTACATTAGCTGATACCCATCTACACATCCAATTTGCAAATTTCATGTAAAGCACTCTATTTAAGCTGCTGCACATCTGCAAGCCACTTAGCAACCCACCTCCATTTCAGCCCCTCCTTTCATGCTACATCTGTCACGGAGGAGCAGGGAGGACTCGGCACAGACTGAAATCTCAGAAAAACAGGTTTATTTACACACTCCAGGTGCACTATATACAGGTGAAGGAGAAGGGGGCCAGGGTTCCCAGGGGTGCAGAGCGGGGTCGGGAAAAGCGTCCAGAGTCTCCAAACCAAACACGAGAAATCTGCATACAGAGAACAAGGGTTAGCACGGAACTTTCACGGACAGAGCTCAAAACTGGCTGAGGCTAAAGTAGCACTGACGAGCATTATTCAATAGTCCAGCGGCGAGGTGCTCTCAGTCACTGCCTTAAGTAGCGGGAGCAAACAAGGTGAGGAGCCACAGGTGATTGCCTACAGGTGGTGGAGGCCGGGAGCTCACAATGAGCTCCGCCCAGGCAGCGAGCAGAGAGAGAGGAGAGAGAGAAAAGACAAAACATAACATGTAGCCACACAGGGCCAGCCGAGCAGGCACGGGGACCATGACAACATCATGAAAGGAAGGGCTCACTTCCAAGATCCTTGGGGAGCATTACATAACTCATTAACACTAAAATAAATCAAAATCAGCACAAACTAACCATTTATAGCTGATGTGCCCAAAATCATGCATAACTCTGAGACTAAACACAGTCGTGTGTGATGACTGGCAACAGTCTAATTGGCCATTCAAGGAACAGCACATTTTGGAACTGTCAGTTTTATTTACAAGTGAGCTGAAAACCAAAAGGGTGCTCCCGTGGAACTGCAGATCAGTGACTTAAAGTATAAAGAAAGTCTCTAGGCATCAATTATGCATCTGAGTAGTCATTCTGTTGGGTCTCATCATGGCATAATTGCCAAACACAGTTTATTTGTGCTAAAAATACCATCTGTACATGTTACAGTAAAAGTATCCCAGTGAAAAAACACAAATAACAAGCTCTCACTTTTCTCATTTATCTTCCTTTTTTTAAACCTTCAAGTGGAGAGAATGGCTTCCTTTACATTACCAAGCCTCTCTGCCCTCAGGCACTTACAACCATCATATGGTCTCACTCCACGTGCTGTCGAGGCGACTTTGGTGTATACTGTTTTGACTGCCAGCTGGAGGCCCGATGTGGATCCTTTATCTGAACTCATCATTCTTTGCCGTCAGCTTTTTGCTTCACATAACAACGAAAGCTCTGTATCCGTCAAATTATGTCATCTGCTACAGTATTGGTTTATCGTCAGGCCTCAGCTGTAGCATGAAGCAGACGACGACAAAGAGCTTAATTTGTGTAACAAATAAGTGCAACTCTTACACACAACAAATGTTGTCGTTTTCATTTCTCCAGCACATCATATTGTGTGCGAGGTAACATGAGTACAGCCTACTGTAAGTATCCATTAGGGCGTTAAGTGACATGTAGAATTTCCAAGATTTCAATTACGCTAATCTCTTGGAAAAGCGTGAGAAACACCAGCATTATCAGTCGTGCATGTGAGCAGCCTAAAGAAAGGCCTGCTGGCAGGCAAGCTGCCATCGGTGTTGTTTTCTCACCGTACATGTGCGGACTTAAGTTACTCACTCCCACAGGAAAACCGGGGCTGTCCATTAAAGTCTGTTAGCTTCATCCCAGAAGCATGTAAGTGAATTGATAGTGAATGGAAAGAGAATGGTTGAGTAAACTGAGCCGAAGAGACGTAAATGTGTCCACGTCTGGTTTGTCAGAGGCAGCCTGCAGGTAAAACTCCTCAGACTGTAGGAAAAGACTGCTTTTAAAACGTCACTGCAAGTGTTGGGAGACGGGACTTGTAGAAAAGCAAGAGAAATGAAAGAATTGAAAGAAGTTGGATTTTTCATTTTTCTTTTTAAAATGTAGAATTTTACATCTATTTGTAGTTTCTTGTGTTTTCTTATCATTGTTGCGTAGCAGCCATTGCCGAGGTGTTTTTCCTCTGGGGTATTACACTTCTGTGTATTCTGTGCTGAAAAAAAGTGATTCTTGTATTACCAGTTCATTTTCTACTTCCAAGAGCAGCAACCAGACACCGGGGGGTTACGACACCAAAGAGGAAGTTGTGGTTAACCACAGATTTACTCTTGATTGACTTATTTATTTCCTGCATGGGCACGGGGAGAGAGAGCCAAAAGACATTTTTATTTTTACATATTAATAAACATAACACAGAAATGTAAAAATGCGCTATTTATTTGGGTGTGGAACACAGAGATGTTTAAAAACTAAATTCATAGACAAGAAATTGTCTGAAACATGACACGCTAATGATCTTGGCCCAATTGAATTTGATGGTAACATGCTATGCTCAGAATGATAAGATAAGATAACAAGTCAAGAACTCAGTCTATAATCTAATTCGATACAATAGTGAGATTACATGTAACGTAAATAAAGGTATTGTGTTTTGAGGTCAAATGTATTTTGCACCTGTCCTTGTGTTGGTAGAGTTCAAACAGATGTTAGAGAAAGTGTTCAGCACTGGAACCATTAATTATCCACATCCATTCAGCTCAGCCCAGTCATTTTATTGACCTCTGCATCAGCTGATAGAGGAATTTTACAGTGTGTTGATTCAGACAGATTCAGTGACACGCTGCCTCACTGAGTAATATGGATGCTTTTCATCAGCTAGCACTACAGTATTCAGGCCACAGAAGGGTTCCCTTGCACTAACAGGTTCAAGAAGACAGCACTTTTCAGTCACAACTAATGCTGATCCTCCACATTTCTTCTTGCTGATCAGATTATAGCTCGTATAACTGAAGAATTTCTAAATCGCTGAAAACCAGGCAGACACCCACAGCTGGAAAATGCCCACCATACAAAAAGCTGCAAGTGGCCACTTTAGATTGGCAACCATGCTACATGGTACAAAAAGCAGTTGCTGTAGAGTCGATGTAGACTGTTACACACGCGCAAGCACACAGTGTACCCTTAAAGCCTTAAAGCATAATGTTTCCACCCACATGCTTGACTATGTGGAATGTGTTCTTTGGTCATACTCAGAATTCCTCTTC